GGATATGAGGCTTGTGAGGGCTGGAACTTGGCCTCAGGGTGTCTTTCACCAGGGCCATGTGGTATACCTTTTGAATGGGTACTCTATATCTCCTTCCCCTCTTTGGCTTGGCTTCTTTTCAGTGAGCTGCCCATATTTTTCTCTGCACTTTTAAGCTGTTATGTAGCTTTGCCTTTGAGAATGAAGATTTTCCCTTTTCTGTCTTTGTAATGCAATCTATTCTTTCTTTTTAAATATTTTATTTATTTTTTATTTTTCTGTATCTGAGTATATTGCCTGCATGCACTGGTGTCATGCAATGCCCACAGAGGTCAGAAGAGAGTAACAGATTCCCTGGAACTGTAGTTACAGATGGTTGTTAGACCATGTGGATACTGGGAATTGAACCTAGGTCCTCTCAAAGAACAGCCAGTGCCCTTAAACACTGAGTCATCTCTACAGCCCATAATCCAGTCTATTCTTTCTTATACTGAATTTTCTCCTTAACTGGTCACATAGAGGCTATCTTACCTGGAGCTCCCCTGGGAAATGCATTATCTGCCTGGATTTATTTTTATGTTACATGTGGGTGAAATAAATGTATTAGTTTCCTTTGTATAGAAAATGACACAAGTGTACTATGGATTAATTGTAAGTCAGATAAACATTTTCAAAAGTTGATAAAATTTGATAAGCTATGTCCCTTTAATCATGTGTTCCCCATGAAAATTGGGGAATATACCAAGGACAATTTAAGTCAGTGAGAGATGCCATCTGTATTTCTACTGGGGACTCAGACTTCTGACATATTTTGATTACTGGTATGACCTTGTCCTTTAAAAATATTTTACTAATTTTTAAGAATATCATGCAGTGTCTTTTGATATATGAACCTTCTCCCCATCCCCTTCCTCCCAGACACATCTCCCCCTCCTGACCTCCCAAGGACAATTTAAGTCAGTGAGAGATGCCATCTGTATTTCTACTGGGGACTCAGACTTCTGACATATTTTGATTACTGGTATGACCTTGTCCTTTAAAAATATTTTACTAATTTTTAAGAATATCATGCAGTGTCTTTTGATATATTAACCTTCTCCCCATCCCCTTCCTCCCAGACACATCTCCCCCTTCTGACCTACTCAGCTTCATGTCCTCCTTTTTGTCAAAGCCCTTTCAGTTCAATGTCTGCTACCCAAATACTCTTGGGTGTGGGTCCGTCACCAGGAGCATGGTAGACACTCTGTGGGTCACACCCTAAAAAAACGACTCTTCCACTTCCTACAGTTATCAGTTGCCAATAGGTCCTTAGCTAGGAGTGAGGCTTTGTGCCCACCGTGTCATCCATTCTGAGATTTTTGATTGGTTTAACCTTACACAGGTTTTTGTACATGCTGTCACAATCACTGTGAGTTCATATGTACAACTACCCTATTGTGTGCTGGAAAACAGTTTCATTGTAGTCATCCATCACTTCTGGTCCTTACAATATTTCCATTCTCTCTTCTGTGGCAATCCCTGAGCCTTGAGGGAAAGGGTGTGAAATAGATGTCTCATGTAGAGCTGAGGATTTTGCTGTTTCTTATTCTCTACAGGCTGACAAGTTGTGGGTTTCTACGTTAATCACCATCTACTGCAAAAAGAAGCTTCTCTGATGATGGTTATGAGAAGCACTGATCTGTGGCTATCATGATAAGTCATTAGGAGTCAGTTTAATACTATGTTCCGTTAGCAGGTTCTCCTCTGGTCTATGACCCTAGCCACAGGTTCTTGACCCTGATAGCATTGCCAGGTATGGGTTCCATTTTGTGGCAAGGGCCTTAAATTCAATCAGAAAATATTTGGTTACTCCCATAACATTCTTACTCTGTGCCAGTGGGCATGTCTTGTCAGGCCTGTCATTATTGTACCTTGCAGGGTTCACAGCTGGGTAAGACTAATGATTATTTTCTCCTCTGGCAGCATGCACATACACTGTTACTTGTTTTTCCAGGGGTGATTTTTTTCTGAAATTCTACTCTTAAATACAAAATTATCATATATTTATATTCTTACCATGTCTCTAAATTGTGTTAACCTGATCCCAAATTAAATGCTTACTCTTCTAATTGGTTGAATTCTGGCCTGTTAAGGCAAAAGAAGTTGATATTAAGCATGTGCCTTAAATAAGTATGCTCCTTATCCTTTGTCATCTGTGAATTAATTTATCAGTAGCCTGAGATTACATGATTTTACATAAATTCACTTCTATATGCATTTTTATATTCAAATGAGTTTTTTAACTATAGCTTTTTTTCCACCTTACTCTAGATTTTCTGCACATGGTTAGAGAATATATTCCGAATGCAGCTGCAATATCTGCTTGTAATGTATATTCAAATATGTACTGGTCTTTGCTGTTCATCCGTTAGACTTGCACCCACCTCCCAATTTTCTAAAAAGGCGTAATTGTTGTACTAATGGATTTTAAAAATAAAGTGTCCAGTACATTATGTGATGCAAATAAGTATACCAGATGGATCCAAAAGGCACTGAGTCATGTTGTTCAGCCTCTGAACACACATTTTGATAACATTATCTGCCAGCATTTCCTCATTTGCAAATTCTCCATATTGAATCACCTGTTATGGCGTCATGATGTTGGGAAATGTGTCTTCTCTTCTTCTTACTTTAAAAAAGTCAAGTGAACTTTTCTTACTGTTTGATATAGGCTTACTTGTCCTAGATAATTAAGACTATAGACTCTCTGTTTTTTTAAAAATAGTTTTATTTTAGCCTTTTACACACACACACACACACACACACACACACACACACACGCACACTGTATATTGCCCATATATTTCCCCTTCATAGCCTTCTGTTCTCTTTTTTCTCAGCTTTCCCTTGTTGGTCCCCTTTCTCTCCCTGGACAGTTTTACTTTCATGTTCCATCTATCTATCTATCATCTATCTATCTATCTATCTATCTATCTATCTATCTATCTATCATCTATCTCTCTCTTTCTATCTATCAT